CTGGGGCATCCAGCCTTCATGAGGTCAAGGATCTCATCTTCCACCTGTGCCCGGCAGGGCCCTCCACTCTTACATATTCAGCTGAAGCCCTGGATCCCTCCATAAGTGCTCCCAGGCTGGTGGTTAGGACCCTGGGAGCTGTGGTTGGTTGGTATTGTTGCCCTCCTCATGGTGCCACAAACCCTTTCAGCTCCTTCAGTCCTCACTCTAACTCCTCCATTGAGAACCTCATGATCAGTTCAATGGCTAGTTGTGAGCATCTGCCTCTGAATATGTCAGACTCTTGAAGACCTCTGAGGAGACATCCATATCAGGCCCTTATCAGCATGCACTTCCTGACTTCCACATCAGCATCTACCTTTTGTGACTGCACATGGGATATTTTCTTTCTCGTTTCATAATCTGAAATGAATAGAAGCTATTTCACTGTCAAGTGTACTGCTTTCCATAAATAAGAAAGGATGCTACTGTGTTCAGTATCCTTGACCTCAGTACCTGACCTGAAAACATTTCCTTTGATATCTGAATATAATAAATATACATATATGTCTACATATATATTCAAACTGTAGACTGCTTGCAGTCATTTTTACGGGTCTGAACAACAAGAAAAAGCCTCTGACATTTGAATAATTGACTGCTGCTTCTTACTTAAAGTGAAAATAAAAAGATGGCATCTTGTTTTCTTTTCTTTTCAACAAAATTCACCACAGATGTTCTTATATGATAACAAACAGCCAGGTACACTGTCCTGTGCCTGGAGTCCCAGCTGTTTATTTGACTCAGGGTGGAGGATTGCTTGAGCCTCCAAGTTTAGGACTAGCCTGGGCAGCAGTCTGGAGCCTGATTGTTAAAAACAAAAAGATGGGCTTGGGAGACAGCCTAGGAAGTCAAGTGCTTGGTAAGAACTTGCTTTGAGTCCCTGGAATCCATGCAAAAATATGTAAGTGCAGTAGCACATGATTGCAATTTCTGTGCTGAGGAGGCAAAAGACAGATGGCTTCCTATGATTCACTGGCTGGCCAGCCTAATGCACTTGGCAAGTTCCAGGCCAACAAGAGACCCTAGTTCAAAAGAAAGCAGAAAAATAAAAGGTAAATAATGGAATCCTCAGTACCTGGAGGGAAACACCAGAAGTCCAATGTTGTCCTCTGGCCTCCACAGGCACATGTGTGTGCACACAAGTACAGCTATGGAACTATGAACATGCATATACATACACATGTGCATGCATGTGTATACATGATGAAAGAAAAATGGAAAAACAAAGACATCTGGCATTTCTAGCTCATATTTTGAAGTCTTATCCAAAATCTGAGTTTTTGGAAGCTATTTGACATCTGTCTTAAAGCTCCCACACACTTGTGAACAGACCTTCTCCTTGGTTTGCTTCTTTCTTATATCCATTATTAGTATTTGATGTGTGACTTAGGAGTGCATGTCTTTCCTCTCTTAGGATTTTTTTCGAAATTTGCCTCACTGGATTCAGCAGCACACAGCCATGAACGACGCCGGGAACTTCCTGATTGAGACTTGCGATGAGATTGTTTCCCGCGACCTTAAACAGCAACTGCTCTTGCTGAACGGTCGATGGAGGGAGCTGTTTATGGAAGTCAAGCAAGTATGTCTTTCAAACCAACACTCAACTTCCGATGCGTGTGTCGCCAGTATGTGAAGCAGCTCACTGACAGCCAGTTTTACTGGGATTATTAGGGTGGAATATAGAAGTGTTTAAAACTGCCTGGGTTTTATTGCTAATTATTCAACCTTGTCTGTTTATGGTGGAGGTGCATGAACAGAACATAGCGTTTGGTGTAAGGATTATGTTGACATATGGCGCTGGCATAGGGAAAGAGATCTGCCTTTCAAATCCTGGCTCCTTACTGCTTGCTTGTTCCTTTTATTTTTTTCTGTCAAAGTAACTGGATTTATTTCAAACTTATCTAAAATAAGAATCAGGAATTAGAATTTTTCTTACCGTATACGAGGCTATCTCCCAGCAAAGGCTGTGGGCTTCAGAATCACAGCTTTAATGACTTTTCAAATACTTCTCACCCCACTCCTCAGTATGCAAGGGCAGATGAGCTCGACAGAATGAAGAAAGAATACACAGACGTCACTACCACCCTCTCTGGTTTTGCAACCGAAGCCCACAGGAAACTCTCTGAGCCCTTAGACATCTCTTTTATTAATGTCAAGTTATTAATTCAAGACTTGGAGGTAAGGACTTTCTGGATCAAAGAAATGAAACACATAATGTAAATATAAATCTGGTCAGGTTGCTCATGTCTACAGGAAACTTTTTTTTTGTACCGTAGAGATCGTTTTGATCATTTTGACAGGTCTACATATTTATTGACTTGTGCAGAAAATAAACTTGAATTTTCGTAGGACTTCTTTTGAAAATATGAAGTAACTTCAAAATAATTTTTCAACATGGAATTCTTTTCCTACATACAAACTATAAAATACTAGGAAAACAAAAACAAACAAGCAAACATCCTTTAGACTGGACTTCCAAATAAATACCCTAAGCAATAAAGGATTTGAAGCATGAGTTAGGCATTGACATTTTTTTAAGAGCCTACAGGTTTCAAAAGTGGAAATAATGGAGTTATTTATTGACAGGAGAAGTTTGAACAATTTCTTGAAGGAAAAAAAATAGATCAGAGTGTTGTGTTTTTAATTTTTGTAAAAAGTTTAAAAATTTAGAAAATGTTACACATAAGAAAAAAACTAGCAACCATGGTGAATTGTCGACGCTAGCTGCCGTGATGTCAGACAATAAGAAATGAAAATTTCCATCATGCTAAGTTTCTAAGTTTTCTCCAGTGACAATGTGTATGTGTGTTTTATAAAGTAAATATCAGTTTAATTCTTTTTCATTATTATTTATTCAATTTACGTCCTGATTGCTGTCCCCCTCCCCTTATCCTCTAAGAGAGTGGAAGCCCCCTGTGTACTCCCCCACCCTAGTACATCAAGTCTCTGCAGGGCTAGATGCATCCTCTCTCACTGAGGCTAGACAAGGCAGCCCAGCTAGAGAATATTCCACAGAAGACCAAGCTTTACATCTGCTACAAAGTGTGGGACTGAATGTGGAGGTGGGGCTGGGGGGGGGGCTAGATCCAGCCCATGTATGCTCTTTGGTTGATGGTTCAGTCTCTGAGAACCCGAAGGGTCCAGGTTAGTTGACTCCATTGGTCTTCTTGTGGAGTTCCTATTTCATTCTGGATCCTTAATCCTTCCCCTAATTCTTCCATAAGAATAAAAAATATGGAACTCTTCATGAATTTGCATATCATCCTTGCACAGGGGCCATGCTAACCTCTGCATCATTTCAATGTTAGTATATGTACTGCTGAAGCAAGCACCAGTTTAATTCTTAAAGTCAAGATTTCTCCCGTAATATTTACATGCATTTCCATGCATCATATGTATGAATATTTCAATATTACATTAACATATTTTAGAAAGTGTAACGATTACATCAAATAATCTTGGCACTGACTTAAGAATACTTGATCATTTTAAAAAGAAAATTTAATGTATGCCTGTATGTCAGTTAAGAACAAAGGCAATGGCTTTCCTAAAGGAGTTGGTAGTGAGGATAGAACTTTGTCCCGCCTTCTGTGGGTACCCTGCAATAGAGAGGAGATGTGTAGTGCACTAACTGAGCTGCTTCAATGACTCACACAGGATATTGAGAAGAGAGTGCCTGTGATGGATGCTCAGTACAAGATGATTGCCAAGAAAGCACATCTCATTGCCAAAGAAAGTCCCCAAGAAGAAGCGAACGAAATGCTTACAACCATGACCAGGCTCAAAGAGCAGCTATCCAAGGTGGGAAAATATTTCATGCTACAACATGCTGTGGAGCAACCATACTGCCTTTGAGTGATTTCTATCTCCATGGTTACCTATGGGTACATCCTTGACTGGTCCACCTTTGAGCTACCCTGAGGTTCTTGATATAGTAACTTTGCTATGTATTTGAGAAACAAAATGGGACACTGATACCTTTTGACAGCTCTCCTAATTTAGGACTGCTCTAAGCTCTGCTTCAGTAGAAAAGTCTGGGTTTTTCAGGAGAGAGCTGTTAAATGTTACAAAACGGAGGATGTAGATGAGAGATGGAGACAGATGTAGGGCAAAGCAGAGGAAGAGGAGGAGGAAGGAGAAGAAGAGGAGGAAGAAGAGAAGACTATACCATTGCACTGAGATTTTTGTTAAGATTTATGTAATATAAATCTAGTCTATTTACTCATGTTTCCTTTTACTAACATGGCTACTCTTGTCGAGAGACTTATCAAGATCTTTGAGTGTTCCATTAGAAACTTTTATATAAGCATGAGTTTTAAGATGATTTCATTGCTTTCACAATTCCCCACTAAGTCCAGGTAATTACCTTCCAGCAGATAAGGGGAGTGAGGAATAAGCACAGGAATCCCGGTATTGTATGAGGAGGAGTCAGAGGGTAGATGAAGTCTGAAGTGCCTTTGAAGTAAGAGAGGAGAGCTGGCGTACAAGGTGAAATTAGTATTGAAAGATTAATGGAAAAAAAGTGAACAAAGGCAAAGAAGAGTGAAAAATAGGCAAATAATAGGCTTAAAAGACAAAAATGTCAGCCTGGCATTCATTACAAATATTTCAGTTAAATTTATTCTGACATTCTAGTTGGAAGGAGTTTTAACTTAATGGTACTGAACAATTTTACTCGTGTGTACCAGCAAAACTTGCTAAAACGAAGGTACAGTAAAAGAAGCCACTGTTTCCAACTTTCCAACAACATGCTGGGCTGTAAATCCGTGGCTTTGTGGTTTGCTCCTCTCATGCTGGTCCAGGTGCAGTAGTTTGGGACCATGGCTTGAGAAAGTTGATTTCTTGAGCTCATCTAAGCTAGATCTCTCTCTCTCTCTCTCTCTCTCTCTCTCTCTCTCTCTCTCTCTCTCTCTCTGTTGTTGTCATCGTCATCATCGATACTATTACGATTCTTAGAAACACAACAGTCCTATGTGTCCCTGGCTGGTCTGAAGATGGACTCACACTTCCGTCCATCCTTCCGCCTGTTTCCTGCATGTTGGAATGATAGGCTTGTCTACCCAGGCTGGCTTAAGCCATGCTCTCTTTCTGCTGCTTGGGATGCTGCAGCACCATGCTGACAGCCTTTCTCTCCAACCCAGGAAAGAGCAATCAAACAGGAGTTCCACATATCAGTGAATTCTCTCGGGCTTCTTCAAGAGAATGGTTCAAGAGTCTCATTGTGGAAGAGAGATGGTAGCTTCCAGTCGATGTGCTCACCTTTCAACAGTATATTCTAGAATATGGGTGTATTTCTGCATATGCACCTCTGCCACAGTGTAACAAAAGGCAGTGTTCAGTTCAAATATTGTTTGTGGAATATTGCTGATGTCGCTAGCACATCATTGATTTTATTGATAAGGTTCTTGGTTTTCCAAAAGTATTAATAATATTTTGGATGGAACCTTAAGATAACAAGGAGGAAGAAGATTTCCTCAACAATTATAAGGTCCTAAAGTTCAGCACAAAGGCAGGCAGGAAGGCAGAGATCTTATAAGAACTCTGGAGTACCAAGAATGTAGGGCCTCACCAAGAAGATAATATTAAGGATATTAAAAACAAAGACAGATGAAGACTGGCCAGTTTAGATGGAGTTGATATGAGAATCTTTGTGAATAAATTGGTGTATAGCATGTTCTTGGGATGAGTAGGACATTGACAGAGAAGGCAAAGCCTAGAGCTGGTCAGCGTAAGGAAAGTGGGCATCTCAGAAGAAGTGGTTACCAGGTGCGCCTTGACTCATAGTCCATGTGCATAGTCCATAGCTCACGAACACCAACTAGAAGCGTCACATCCTCTAGACAATGTGGTAATGACTTGTGACTGTCTCAAATTTCATTGCAAAAATGAAAGTGAGTAGTGTGGTGTTTAAAGAGGGACCTGATGCCATTTGTCGCTCTATATGATTTTCATGGGGAAGTGCCATCCAGATGGACAACTTAGATGAATTTTCATGAGGAAATTCTGCAGCCCTTCATTTGTCTCAGTGATACAGTATTTTTTATTTTATCTTTTTTAACAGCAAAGCTTCATCACATAGCACAAAATAAAAAATAAAAGACAGCCATCTTCAGAGATATCTAAGTACCAAATGACCATTTCACTAGAACCAAGTTCTTTAGGACTAAGCACAGCACTGGTGCTTTGACGACTTAATAGCCTCTCATGGGATTTATTCTGTTCTTTGGACTTTCAAAGGTCAAAGAATGTTACTCTTCACTGTTGCATGAGGCCCAGCAAGTGTCAGTTCCTTTGGAAGAACTGGAGATACAAATCACGTCCTTCTACGACTCACTTGGAAAACTCAACGAGATTCTATCAGTTCTTGAGCACGAAGCACAATCCAGCACTCTTTTTAAACAAAAACACCAGGTAACAAAAATCCCTTTCAGAGATATCCTCATTTTAAAGTGTATTTAATAAGGTTGGGGCATGTTTTCCTGTAATAGAAGTTCAGTTAGTATATCCTCCCAGTATAGTAGGATACTGGTAACTCAAACCAAAGTGTATATCCTTTGCAGAGAAGACACCTGCTCTGTACTCAGTGTAAGAAATGGGGACTTGAACCATTTATAAGGTGCAGTCAGGTTGGATACTTGGATCAGGCTGAGCTAGGCTCTATAATTCTGGGTTGAGAAGGTCACTGGGAGATTCGGGAAGGCGGAGCCTGGGGGAGAGGTGGAGTCATCAAAACTAAGTATGTCTGAAAATGACATATGTAGGCTTTCATATGTGTTGCTCATTGGGAGAAAAGTTCCGTGTAGAGTACAATTAGGAAAACTAATTTGTTTTGAGCACCTGACTTTGCATCTTTGAACTGGCCACATGAGCTGATGGTTCTCAGGTCATCTCTAATTGTCTCCACGTACACTTAGATGGGGCGTTCTGAACACTGGCTGCAGGGTGTTGAATTTCTATGATGGTTCTCTAGAATAAGTGATACATCTAGAAGAGCCAAACCTGCTGTTCTGTCTCAAAAGAAGAAGGGCTCCCCACAGGGCCTCTGTTGTTCCTCTACCTATTAAATTAGCTAACCCTGTATTTCCTCCAGCAAATCTATGCATCATATTTCATGAATAAAATTCCAAAAGAGTTTAATTAAGTTTTTTTCATTTGTACTTTTAGAAGAATAGAAAATATCAAGTGTTCAGGTTTTCCATCTTTCTGTTGACTTTCTTGTAGAAATTCACTTGGTGATACTATGCACATATGTCTTTGGGCCTTACCTATTAGCTCATTAGCTCATAAAATGGTTCATTTCTTCTAACAGTGCACATGTTTCCTATGCCTTGATTCCTTGTGTATATGCTTTTAAAATGTATAAATGAATTAGGAAATCATTCTCCATTTCAGCCAAATAACTATAATGTATGTCATATGATCTCTTTTCTTTGACTGTGGAAATAAGTCTGGTTAACCACTATGGTGCAGTGAATTAACCTGCTTGTTGTAAACAGGACTGTCCTTCAGGTAAGGGGTAACTGTAGGAAAACTTTGCCACTCCTCCACTCCACTCTGCTCCACTAGAGTGACTGAGACAAATTTATGGAAGGGACAAGCCTCAGCTAGAACGATGAGCAGAGTGTCTGAAATGAGCTATAGGAAAGTCACAGTTTAGGTCTGATGTGGCAAATAGCAAAATCTTTACTCATTTTACTTGTATCATGTTAAGCCAACAGTGATTACACCCAATAATTGATAGTCAATAATTCATAAAATTATTATTATGATGGGTAGTATACCCACAACCATTATTAGAAAACCATATTCTAATGACATCATGACATTGGTTGAAAATTCTTTCATTTTGAAGAATGATAACATACCCTATGTTCCTAAATTAGAATGAAATATGGTTAAATATTCTTTTCATCATTAAAGGCATGTATTATTGACAAGAAATATTGTATAAAATATTTTCAATCTCTACCTTTTGAACTTCTAGTTTTTCAAAGGGAAAAAGGTATACCATAATTCCGTTTTGTCAAAAACAAAAGGCCTATTTTAAATATTTGCATTGAAGTGACCAAAATGGCATACAAATGGACAGTTTGAATATTCTTTTCAAAACATTAGAGAATGCAGAAATGCAAGTAGTATGCATTCAAGATAGAAATGATCTTCTATCTCCAAGTGGACTAGAACGCTTCCATTCTGTGTCCGCCATGATTGGTAGGATGCAAGGTGGAGAGGCAGAAGGAAGGACCATGTCCATCACCACTACATTCCATTTGGAAGGGTGTATGAGAGCAAGCAGTTCCCAGGTCTGCTCCTCTCCTTCCTGCTTTGATTA